TAAGAATATGAAAGCAACACTTATTTACTGTTCATATATATTTTAATTAATGTTTCTGAATTTGTTTTTATTGAATTAATGTACGTGTGTGCAAAATTAACAATACAATTTATTAATAATACGTGGAATATTAGAGGAGACGAGACGGCTGCCGGCATTGTTTATGTTAAAGCTTACGAAACCAGTGACTGATTGGTTCTACATATAAAACTGAAGAAAATAAGACCCTGAATTTAGCTGTAGTAAAATTAATGTAAAAAAATGAATATGGTTGCGTGAAGTACCTGTAATGTTATTTAATGTTAATAAATGGAACAATATAAGTTGCTAACCATTAATGGTAAAAAAAAAAGTGAGACTGCTCGTATGTAAGTGCGCACATGTGAAAATATATCGTCATTACTCTACATAAAAATATGAAAGCAACACTTATTTACTGCTCATATATATTGAAGGGTTAAATGTTGTACTCTGTATAGACAAGCAGAGAGAGAGAGAGCAGCCGAACTGCCTGATGCAAACAAACCTTAATTTCCCGCGGCTTTTTTTTTTTAAGGGGATTAGCCCACCCGGGAATAGGTCACTGACCCACATTAGGGCCTGAGGGGCAAAAATTTAATACTCTTGTAATAATAATAATAATAATTCAGATAAAAAAAAAAGAGAAAGCTGCCTATCTACCTATTGACAAACTAAAATCGCCCGGACCACGGGAGTTTCCGGACCGCAGAATGCCAGCCTAGAGAGGTACAACCTGTACTATCTGTCAATCAAATACCCCACCTCCCCCTCTTCCCACCTGATCCCTGGGTCCCTCCCTCCCTCCCTACCCCTCACCCCCACCTTCCCTCCCTATCAGAGAAATGATTGGGTTATAACAGTATATTTACAATTTTAGTAATAAATAATACCTCAGACTAAAGTTAGGATAATATAATTGACATTGCTGGATTCCTTGCAAGACCAGGAATATTTTGAATATACACTTCATATATTTTGCACAAAAGATAACATATTTGCTCTGAGTAAACAAAATACTTGCATTAGATCTAAAATTTGTGTGTCTAATGCAAAATCTATGATGCTTATATTCAAAATGATCATCAAATTGTAAGAATTCCAGCAATGTAAATTATATTCTGGCCGGATAATTTGTATGAATTTTATGAGCTAAATAAAAAAATTATGCTTCACCTGCGTATATGAGTAGATGCCGTATATGAGTAGATGCACCGCGTAAAGTGGGAATTCCAGTTCTGGCAGGGTACCGCGTAAATGTAGAAACGCATAAAGTGAAACCGCATAAAGCGAGGGTTCACTGTATTTAAAAATTTTGACGGCGGAAACTCGAATTTCGACGGGTTTGAGTGGCCCACCTACGTTCAGACGACGTGCACAATCTGTAAACAGCGTTATTTCTCTTATGTACAAAAGATTCATTATTGTTTATTACTGAAAGTCTTTTTGATTGAATTAATGTTTGTGTGTGCAAAATGAGCAATACAATTTATTAATAATTCGTAGAATATTAAAACACGAGGAAATGAGACGGCATTGTTTTCGTTGATTACAAAACCAGTGACTGACTGGTTCTACATAGAAAACTGAAGAAAATAAGACCTTGGTTGTAGCTGTAGTAAAATTAATATGGTTGTTTTAAGTAATGTTATTTAATGTTAATAAATGGAACAATAGAAGTAGCTAACGATAATGGTAAAGAAAAAAGAGAGATCGCGTATGTAAGTGCGCTCACGTGAAAACATATCATCATTACTTTACATAAGAATATGAAAGCAACACTTATTTACTGTTCATGTATATATTTTAATTAATGTTTCTGAATTTGTTTTTATTGAATTAATGTTTGTGTGCAAAATTAACAATACAATTTATTAATAATGAGGAGACGAGATGGCTGCCGGCATTGTTTATGTTAAAGCGTACGAAACCAGTGACTGATTAGTTCTACATATAAAACTGAAGAAAATAAGACCCTGATTGTAGCTGTAGTAAAGTTAATGTAAAAAAATTAATATGGTTGTTTGAAGTACCTGTAATGTTATTTAATGTTAATAAGTGGAACAATATAAGTAGCAAACCATTAATGGTAAAAAAAAAAGTGAGACTGCGTGTATGTAAGCGCGCACATGTGAAAACATATCGTCATGACTCTACATAAGAATATGAAAGCAACACTTATTTACTGCTCATATATATTGAAGGGTTAAATGTTGTACTCTGTATAGACAAGCAGAGAGAGCAGCCGAACTGCCGGATGTAAACAAACCTTAATTTCCCGCGGCTTTGTTGTTGTTTTTTTACGGGGATTAGCCCACCCGGGCATAGGTCACTGACCCACATTGGGGCCTGAGGGGCAAAAATTTAATACTCCTGTAATAATAATAATTCAGATTAAGAAAAAAAAAAAAAAAAATCTCTGCCTATCTACCTATTGGACAAACTAAAATCGTTCTGGACCACGGGAGTTTCCGGACCACAGAATGCCGGACTAGATAGGTACAACCTGTACTGACCACATACCCCTAAAAAGATTCGTCTCCTTCTGTTATTCTTACTGGGCAAAATAATGTTTGTTATTTATTTATTAGTAAAGATATGTAACTGCAATAATTTGAACTTATTAAGGGGAGCATCCGGCTGAAAATATGATGAAAATCTGAAAATTACGAAAATATTCAGAAAATTCCTGAGGAAAACTGTTGTCTATGGCTATCTGCTGATGTATTTTGATGACATAATTCATAATATTTATGTAGCTATGCATGATTTTTCTACGCCCCCCTTCATTCACAGGTCCATTCAGTTTACATAGCACAAGAGGAGAAGACTACAGTATTTATAATTATTTATAATAATATTTTGGTGGAAAGTAATACCAATCACATGGTAAAATCAATATCTGGCACCTTTCTCAGCTAGCTAGAAGTAGGACAAGAGTCAGACAGACGACGGTTACCCATGGAAAAGGCGAAAGTGAGGTTCGATTGTGTGTTGCTCACGCGCCACCCTTATCGCCTGTGTATCTCAAATCGAGTTTTTCTAACCTTCAAATCCCTAAGGTTCGGCCACTTATGGGCCAATTCCATTAAAACAAATACTAAATGCAGTAGAATAACATATTGTGCGTGGCTGAATATATAGATTTTCTTTTTATTTGGGTTGGTTTATTATTTTCTTTTTTATCTTTATAACATTTAGAGGAAAAAATGTTAAGTTAGGAAATGAAAATCATGCACCTAAAACAAAAGTGATAATCAGAAATATCTATACCGGGTATGTCACATTCAAGAGGAGTAAATTCCCTCTACTACACATGAATTCCAACGTAATTTAGTGAGATTCAGGGGTACAGCAACAATGTATATGATGTCCTTAATTGCTGACAGGAAATTGATATTGACTGGTGAATTATTCACAAATTTTGTGCTTAAGCCGGACACTCCCCTTAATACCAGTACCCTTCATATACAGTAAAATACTTATTTTTACCTTATTATTCAGCTTGTCATATTAAGAATATCACATTGGAAACATCTAGTATAGAGTTTATTGAGGATCATTATGATATCAAATTTATCTCCCTATCACAATTAGCCACGCTTGAGTGAGGAAGGAGGGGAGAAAAGTGACCGTTAGTCCCTCCCTCCCTCTACCCCAAAAAGGTTTGCAGTGGGAACCTGCAGATATTTTCAACTTTATTCCTTATGATAATTATTTCTTTTATTCATTTTACACATTATTATTTAGGATTGTGTGTGCATGTAAGCAAGTAAAAAAAAATTGAAGAAATTTATGTACAGGAGTATAGTCTCGGTTTACGCAGTCAATTAAACCCGTGGAGGTCCGCGTAAAACGAGAAACGCGTAAATGAAATAACAGAACATATGGGATTAATTGAAATGGGGACTGGGACCCTTTTTCCGACACAATACGTACGTTGTAGTAAAAATAACATCTTAATTTTATGATGGTATGCACACACAATTAATATTTAAGAGAAATATCAATAATAGTTTTTTTAACACTTACGTTAATAGAAGAGATGGCTGGGCACACAGGGATGGGGGGTTGGTTCCGAGGCAGAGGGCAGATTATTGGCCCTCACTTGTATCACTATCCACCTCGGAGGCTTGCAGGGCCTCTATGTCAAACCCCTCAAAGTCCATATCCTCACTATCACTGACTTGGGCTGGCTGTGGTGGGTGGCGGGTGAAGAACTCAGTAATGTTTTGTTGACTGAGCGACCTTGTGCGCACCCTGCCTGCGCCGCTTCCCGCGTAATTGATGGAAAATACCGCGTAAATAAAAATTGTCCGTCTGGCAAGGTGCCGCGTAAATGATCAAACGCGTAAACGAAATCCGTGTAAATCGAGACTATACTGTATACTGTATATGCCAGATGGGGAACGGTGTCATTACTGAGGGTTTACTCTAGAGTAATATCTCTACTGAACAAGAATGCATTTTCTAAGATATTTCTTATTATAAAAAATATGAGTGATATTATGTGTGGTCATAACACATTCCATGTATAACATGTACAGTAAGTCAATGGATTAATCGGGCTTATTCGTCATTGTTCGTCGTGGTCGTGAAGAATGCATTCCCGATGAACAAGGAGGAGTCCTTATACCTTAGTGTGAGGCTATATGGTTGCTGCATACTTTGTTATTCACATCTGCATGAGAGGCATTCAAGTACATTGCATACATGTATTTAGTTTTATACATGGGACTAAACTTAGTTACTAGATACAAGAAAGTGGATACAATTGTAATATGGCAGGTATCTTGCCATTAGAGATAGAGTGCTGTGCCATTTCGCACATAGTGTGCTTGGGCCTGTCCGTCTGGGCTAAACCCACCCATGTTAGTGACACTCTGTACATGAGTCACTCCTCTCTGACACATTTAATAAGTTAGTTTTAAGGATCAGACTTTATTTTGTAATAAGTAATAATTTTTTTGTGTCTTTTTCAGATGATAATATGATTCCCCTCTCAAATTATGGAATTCAGTGGTGAGGAAATAATCAGGTTTTGTTGTGAGGTAGTGCTGGCCTTGATACAGTTGCTTAGTACAATTGACCCCTGATTTAACATGAGAGTGGGACCCAGGAAACTGAATTGTGTTAAACTGGTTAAGTATTTAAATTGGAAATACACCATGCCCTTCAAATTCGCAGGGGTTAGGTTCTCAAAATGGCCGTGAATAGCCAAATCCATGAATACCATTTGCTGACCAAGGGGGGGGGGGGATACATTGTTACTTGAGTGCAAAGAAATGTATATTCCCTTATGTGTTTGCCTTTAGGAAAATTATTTCTTTTATCTGTATTGTATACACAGTGGGGTATGCTATAACGAACGGATCCTACTACGAATATTCCTATAACGAACGGTTTTACCTATAAAATTGAGAATGCTATAACGAACGAAACTCCTACAACGAACATTATTTAATTTTTTTTTTTCTAATTTATTGTTTTTTTATTACAAATATTAATGATATTCTTTATTTCAGGGGTTTAGATGCATATTTATGCACTTTTTTTACAATTTTTACAATTTTATATTATATTTTTCAGTGTTAAGTGGTTGTATTTGGGGGCCTGGAACGGATTAATCCTATAACGAACGAATGCTATAACGAACAAGGTTCTAGAACCAATTAGATTCGTTATAGCATACTCCACTGTATATATATATGTGTGTGTGTGTGTGTGTGTGTGTGTTGTTACGCTGTCTCTTAATTTACTTAAATATCCAGGTTCTAGGCGTAACCAAACAAAAAAAAGTGAAGTAAATTAAAAGGGAATAAAAATAAATAAAGTAAACCTTTAAGATTTAAATTAAATTAAATATTAACACAATAAAGAGCCTCGTAGGCTGTCACAACAAATTGATTCACTATCGAAACTTTTAAGACACAAATGATACTAAACATCGAAACATCAAAAGAACTGCTTAAATATATAGAATAAAAATAAAGCACTGGATTACGTTAACACTACATAAACATATAAAATAACTAACACTGAAATTAACTTATGTGAAACAACACTGAATTACTTAATGTAACTAAGCAAGCACTGATGGACACATAAGAGACATAAATAGGTACTCACATAGGTATACCACATTGGTGGCGACAAGAACAACACAGAAAATAAAATAATGTACAAGTAACAGGTGACAGGTGTCACTCAAAAGAACGTGAACTGAATGATAAGAGGTCTGGACTGAACTCTGTCTACAGGTGGAGTACTATATATAGGGTCGTTTCCCGCCAATGAGACCAGCCGGTGAAACACGGGTCGTTTAACGATGCAGATGGTCATTAGAGAAACAAAGAATGCTTGTTACAATACTAAATGAAGAAATAAGATGGGCTTGAACAAATAATAACAATTAAAACCTTGACAGTACAGGGTAAGGTGACTAGATTATATACAGTAGTACCCCGATTTACGCGGTCAATTGAACCCACAGGGTACCGCGTAAAGTGAAAACCGCGTAAAGTGAACAACAGAACATATGGGATTAATTCCAATAGAGACTGGCCCGACCCCCAAACTCCACTTTTTGACGACACACAACTATGTTGTAGTAAAAATATTATCTTAACCTTATGATGGTATGCACACACAATTAATAATTAAGAGAAATATCAATAATATTAGTTTTTTTAACACTTACGTTAGTAGAAAAGATGGCTGGGCACACAGGGATGGGGGGTTGGTTCCAAGGCAGAGGGCAGATTATTGGCCCTCACCTGTATCACTTATATCAATTGTATCAATATCCACCACATAGGCTTGCAGGGCCTCTTTGTCAAACCCCTCAAAGTCCATATAAGTCCATATCCTCACTATCACTGACTTAGGCCGGCTGTGGTGGGTGGCGGGTGAAGAACTCGGTAATGTTTTGATGACTGGGCGGTTGTGCGCATCCTGTCCGCGCCGCTTCCCGCGTATATGAGTAGATGCACCGCGGAAAGTGAAAGTTCGGTTCTGGCGAGGCACCGCGTAAATGAGAAATCGCGGAAAGTGAAACCGCGTAAAGCGGGGTAATACTGTAATAGCAAATATAACATCATTACAGGAATAATATGGAACAACATGGAAGCATGTTATATAAAAAAAAATAGAAAAATACGACACTGTCGTAACACTTCCCCCATAAAAAAAAATTTTGCTTGCACAAATTTTGATATGACATAAGTGTGTGGGATAACTATTTGAGTGACAGACGCCCATTCCGCGTCTTCCTCTTACATAGTCGGTGGGAGCCAGCGGCGGCACAAAACACCATCCTGACTGAAGTATCTCGTGGTAGGGCCTGAATCATTGGCCGAATCGGACACCTGGTCAAACATGAGCCGTAATGAATCGTCTTGCTCCTGCACAGCTATTAAAGCAACTCTCCCGGTCACAGCATTAATTGCGGAAGAAATGTTTTGGGAAGCAAAAAGTCCTTCTAAGGACAGTGAATCATCTACATCAGGAGTTACGTTATGATCATTGGTCATTGACATAGAACGAGTCACAGCACACAAAGGGAAAACACCGGGCATATCATCTTCAAGTTGTTGCAGCTCTGCGGTAGACTCTGGTCTTTCCCGCAGCACAGGAGGTGGGGTTACGTTCCCCATTTGACCTCCCGCCAAATCGTTACCGAGTATGAGGTCCACTCCAGCAACAGGCAGCTCGTGCACGCAGGCTACGTTAGCTATCCTTGAAAGACAAGAAGACTTGACACGTACTGAAACCAAAGGAGCTACACCTTGACCCCAAAGGGAGCCCAAAAAGACGTATTTGTCAGTCTTCCTCGCCGCAACAACATCCTCTTTGATGAGAGTTTGGAGACAACCCGAGTCTCTCAAAATAGTGACTGGTGTTTCGACACCAACTTCTACCGTGCCTTGTGACAAAAAGGGACGAAAGGTACCAACGTCTGGGTCCTTCGCAAAACTCTCCTGGAAAAGATCAAAGTCTCGTGAGGCGAGAACCGAAACTACACTCTTGTGCTTCACCTTTTGTGGAAACCAACGCTATTGGCATGCTGTCAGCCTTGCTCAAACCAGCCATCACTCCGACTGGTGACGTATTAGCCTTCTCAGTAACAATCATAGCTGGTTTGCCCGTATTTGGCTGCAGCCTTGTCCAACAAAACTCTGCCTTATGACCTGGCTTTCCACAGAAACTACAAGTGTATGTAGAAAATTTGGACGTCCCATTAGGTGGCGAACGCTTCCAGCTCCTCTCACACAAAGCTGTTATGCACAAAATTACTATTGTTAGTATTCCCTTGTCTCGCTCTGCGGAGAGAGGGATTAAAAGTCCTTTGAACCTGTGGGGCATAACATCATTGTTATTCCTACCATGTCTCAAAACAAATCCATTAGCATGCTTCAATAGAACTAAATTCTCTATTTAACAAGCATACTGCAACCTCTTCGTTGATGGTTCTCAAAAATTCCTCTGTGAGCATTAACTCAATCAGGGAGTCAAACTCACTCACTTCCTTGGAGTGTAACCACTTTGAGAATACCTCTTTTACTCCTAGCAAATTCAAGGTGGGTCTGCTCTGCATTCTTACGGAGGTCACGAAAGCGTCGTCTGTACGCTTCAGGAACAAGGGCATAATCTTCAAAACTTTCTCCTTAACACATAAATAATCATTAGCGTCACTGTCTGTAAAAGACGAAAAAATACAGAGCCTTACCTGCAAACGCTTGTTGAAGCAAAATGGGCCAAAACTCTATAGGCCACTTTAAAGTGGTAGCAAGTCTCTCGAAAGCAATGAAAAACTCATCAACTGTTTCCTCTGAAAACGTGGGCATTAGTCTAGCAGCACGTGCTGGATCAAAATGAGAAAAACTAGATCTGGGGTTGAGGCCATCGGTGTTAGAAAGGTTACTCTGACCGAGATGTATACGCAGTCACAAGTTTTCTGAATATGCTTCTTTCGCTTTAGCTACAGATTCTTTCACTTTAGTTTCAGCTTCTTTCGCTTTAGCTTCAGCTTCCGCCTGACGTATCCCAACTCTTTTCGCTTAGCTTCAGCTTCCGCCAGACGTGTTCCAACTTCTTTCAATTTTATTTGCGACTCGAGAAGGCGTAATTCATCATTCACTGAACGTGACTCAGCTACGTTAACTTGACTAGCTTCAGCATGGTCTTCTCTTAAGCCAACATCAACACTATCTCAAAACATGATGGCTAGTTAAGAAATAAAAAACAAATAAACACAAAAAGAATATCACAAGTGTCAAAAGGTCATTAGTGAATCCTGGCAAGGTCGCCAAAACTGTTACGCCGTCTCTTAATTTACTTTAATATCCAGGTTTTAGGCATAACCAAAAAAAAAAAAGTGAAGTAAATCAAAAGGGAATAAAAATAAATAAAGTAAACCTTTAAGAATTTAATTAAATTAAATACTAACACAATAAAGAGCATCGTAGGCTGTCACAACATATTGATTCACTATCGAAACTATTAAGACACAAATGATACTAAAACATCGAAACATAAAAAGAACTGCTTAAATATATAGAATGAAAATAAAGCACTGAATTACGTTAACACTGCATAAACATATAAAATAACTAACACTGAAATTAACTATCGTGAAACAACACTGAATTACTTAAATGTAACTAAGCAAGCACTGATGGACACATAAGAGTCATGAATAGGTACTCACATAGATATACCACATTGGTGGCGACAGGAACAACACAGAAATAAAATGAAGTATAAGTAACAGGTGACAAGTGTCACTCAAAAGAACGTGAACTGAATGACGAGAGGACTGGACTGAACTCTGTCTACAGGTGGAGTACTATATATAGGGTCGTTTCCCGCCAATGCCACCAGCCTGTGAAACATGGGTCGTTTAACGATGCAGATGGTCGTTAGAGAAAAAAAGAATCCTTGTTACAATACTAAATGAAGAAATAAGATGGGCTTGAACAAATAATAACAGTTAAAACCTTAACAGCACAGGGTAAGGTGAC